CCCCGCCTGGCTGCTTTTTTTTTTTTTTTTTTTAATTTTGAGAGGATCTCACTAAATTGCCCAGTTAGGCTCAAACTTGCAATCCTTTTGCCTTAGCCTGCCAAAGTGCTAGGATTATAGGTATGCATAACCACACACAGCTTACCCTATTAATTTTTTGTTTTATTTGTTTGTTTATTTATTGGTACTGGTGATCAGACTCAGGACCATGTGCTTGTGAGGCAGCCACTGCACCACTGAACTAAATCCCTGGCCCTGTTTCTTTTTTGAGATAGGGTCTTGATATGTAGTTCAGGCTGGCCTTGAACTCATTGTGTAGCTCAGGCTGGGCTCAAACTCATGGCAATCCTCCTGCCTCAACCTCCAGAGTGCTGGGATTGTACCACTACATCCATCTCTACCCTATAAATTTTAACTCTAAAAGAGAACAGCTGTTAAATAAGGAAGATATTTGTAGTTAAGAAATGAAAGTTTATGAGCTCTGTCTGGGCCATTGAACCTGCTGGTGGTCTAATCAAATACCAGATAGGCTCATCAAAGTAAAAGATTACAAGGGAAAACCCAAAAAGATAGGAGACGAACATTGATTGCATATTTACTTACAGTGGTACCTTGGTACTCATCGTTAATTGGTTCCAGGAGGCTTAGAGTAACAAAAACAAGTACCAGGTACTGAAAAGGGCAGCAAGTCATGAGGCAGTCAGCAAGTACCAAACAGCAAGACCAGGACTAAATTTTCATGTCAGAACGTATTGAATACCAAATCTGACAATTTGCAGTGAAATCACTTAGCAAGATATGACTTTATATACCAGTCACTAGACTAGGTACTATCATGTAGAGAATTTTGTTTAGTTCTTACAGCTATAATTATCCAGGGTGACAAAGCTGATTAAGTAGCAAAGCTAAGGTTTAAAAATCATCTTTAGGGCTGGGGATTTAACTCAGTGGTTCTGCCGCCTGCCTTGCAAGAAGAAGGTCCTAAATTCAATCCCTGGTACCAAAAAACAAAAGTCATCTTTATCCTTTGAAAGCTCAAGGTCCTGAGTTTGGTCCTCAGTACCAAAAAAAAAAAAAAAAAAAAAAAAAATCTTTGATCCCATGTGTCTTTTCACTATACCACTTTTGTATTTCTTTTTTGTCCTCATGCAGCTACAAAGTGGGAAGGAAAAAAGCAGGACATATTTACCTTCCCTATTTGGTGAGGATATCTTAGCTCCTTTTTTGCCTCTATTGCTAGATAATAAAAGATAACTGACCTTAGAAACTAGACTCTTTTTGAACAGGGGATGTTTAGTTGGCAAAAAGCTCCCTGGCAGGTTCTTTCCAGTCATGCATCAGAGCTAAAATTATTTCATAAACATCGGCCTTACCAGGCTGAGCTAAACTTGGCCTTGACTCCAGACCTCGCTAACACTACTCAGGTGTTTTTAGTGCTTATAGTAAAAGTCAAGCCCCTCTGTCGTATTTGTCTTCCAGCTTCAGAATGGAGCCATCTGCCATCATCCTGCTGCTTTTGCTCCTTTGCTGCCCACCTTAGAACCAGCACAGTGGATTAGCATCTTAAACAGTAATGAACACCTTCTGAAGGAGAAGGAACTTCTCATTGACAAGTAAGATGGCAAGGGGTGCTGCAAGGCCAGGCTGTTCTCTCCCAGGTCCCTCTGAGGGTACCTAATAAGGTCCTCCCAAGGGCAGTACAACCGCTTATGTTCAGGCCCACACCTTGTCTTATAGAAGAGGGAGGTTGATTAGTAGCCTATTGTATCTGTGAAACACAAGTTATATATCTCTGCAGGGGCTCTAGGGAGCATCTGCAGGGGTTAGCTGATTTCTTGCCACTGATCTTTTCTCATTTTCCCTCAGTCATTTTTCTCCATTGTGTGTGTGTGACCATAGGAGGGGTGGTACTGGTGGTACTGAAGGCTGCTCTGCTACTGAGCTACATCCCAACCACCCTTTTTAAAATAACTAGTTAATTTTATTTTGAAACAAGATCTAAGTTGCCTAGGTAAGACTTGAACTTACGATCCTCCTGCTTCAGCTTCCTAAAGGGCTGAGAATATGCAAATGTGCCACTGTACTTGGCTGGTCATATTTCTCATTTGTTTTTCCTCAGCAGAATTTAATGTCCAGAATCAAAGGTTTTGTTTATGTAGTAGGGATCATTACTCATCTGTCTAAGGAAAGTAAGGACTTGTATTATAAGGGGCTTAGTGTTAGGATCCAGAGATGTTTCTATGGGCTTTTTTTTTTTCTTTTGGTACTGGGGATCAAACTCAGGACCTTGTGCTTGCAAGGCAGGCACACTGTCACTGAACTAAATCTCCAGCCCTCTACTGGCTTTTGCAGGCAGAGAAAACACATCTCTCAGCTGGAGCAGAAAGTGCGAGAGAGTGAATTACAAGTCCACAGCGCTCTTTTGGGTCACCCTGCCCCCTTTGGGGATGTCTGTTTGCTGAGGCTACAGGTAAGCATTAGCAGCCAGAATGGCATTTTGCTTGTCACAACTCAAGTGTTTTCCAAAAGGATCAAAAAATAAACATACTATAAAGTAACCTTTGTTGTGCCCTGTGCCCTTGTGAGGTTGGAAAAGGTTTGAAGGAAAAATCAGGTGAAAATCTGGATGCCTTGGTGTCAGGACATACTTGAAGAGAAAGGAGAGCAGAATGAGATTAGATGGTAATTTCCTAACATTGGGTGATACTCTGAGAAGTCTTAATTTGTGAGCCCTGGCCCAAATGGAGGGAGAGACAGAGGCCAGGGAAATTTAGAGTGATTTTCATTTTTATTTTTCCATGCTAGAAGCAATTGAAGAAAACCATATTCTTATGGAGGCCACTGTATATGGGGTTTGAGTTCTTAAAAAGAACCATGTGTGTATGTGTGTGAGAGAGTGTGTGTGTGTTTTGTGGTTTTGAGACAGCCTCGTTGTATAGTCCAGGCTGGCCTCAAACTCATGGCAGTCCTCCTGCCTTAGCCTCCAAATTGCTGGGACTACAGGCATGCACCACCACCCCTGGTAAGGCCTGCTTGTTGACTTAGCTTTCACAACTTGGGCTTTTGAGTGACGTGTATTAAATAGACTCTAGTACTGGCTTTGCCACAGAGGGGGCCTATTAAGGTGATATTACATCTTACAGAATCAGTATGTTAGAATGGGAAGAGCCCTTAGGTAGAAATCTGGTTTATACCTCTAATTTACTGATGACAAATATTGAAGTCCAGGAAGGAGGATGTACTTGCCTAATAAGATCAGATAGAGAATAAATGGAGGAAGTCAGTCCCCAAGCCTGGTCTTGTGATGTCTTGTCCTGCATTCCTTCCATTATCTACTACAACTCCAGATGTTGCATTAAAGCAGTGGTTCTTAAACAGCAGTGTACATCAGAATCATCTAGAGAATTTACTGCAACACAGATTATAGTGAACCATCCCAAGAGTTTCTGATTCAGTAGAGCCTGTGACTGAGGCTTTAAAATTTGTTTTTCGTTTGTTTTTTGTTTTTTGCTTTTTTTTGTACCGGGGATTGAACTCAGGTCTTTGCACTTGCAAGGCAGGCAGCAGAACCACTGAGCTAAATCCCCGGCTAAAATTTGTTTTTCTGAACAAATTCTAACACTAGGTGATATAATCCTATTTGTCCTTGTACCACATTTTGGGAAGCATTGCTTGGGGAAAGATGATACTTGACCATAAAGTATGCTGGGAATAAGTAAAGTACCATATAAGGGGTTGTAAGGGTAGGAAACAGTTAACATATTAAATATCTTTCTGGCAGGAACTGCAGCGAGAAAACACTTTCTTACGTGCACAGTTTGCACAGAAGACAGACACCTTGAGCAAAGAAAAGATCGAGCTTGAAAAGAAGCTTTCTGCTTCAGAAGTTGAAATCCAGCTCATCAGAGAGTCTCTCAAAGTGACACTGCATAAGCATTCAGAGGAAGGCAAGAAACAGGAAGAAAGGGTGAGCTGAGGAGTTGATGGCTATCTGGTCCACGAGGGTGTTGGCAGTCAGCCCTCTCTGCCAACAGCCTAAGCTGTTTCTGCCCTGTTCTTGAAAACAGGAGAAGCCAATTAGGTGAGACCCTTCATTGGCTTCACGCAGGACCTGTTTACTGGAAATGGAACCCCTCCTTTATGCCTTATCTTCACAAAAATACTTGTCATTGAAAGTTGTATAATCCCTCACTGTCTCAGGTTGTAAAGTGCTGCCAGCTGTCCTAGGTGGAAAACCAGCCTGTGCAATCATACCAGGTGTCACTGTTGCAAGATGTTTGAATACTTATGGTAAATTTATTCCACTCAGTCTGCTTTCATCTCATTCTATCTAAAAAAAAAGTCTCTCAGGCCAGGGATTTGGCTCAGTGGTTCTTCCGCCTGCCTTGCAAGCGCAAGGGTCTGAGTTCAATCCCTGGCACCAAAAAATAAAAAAAGTATCTCAAAGTATCTCACCCTTTCTAAAAATTCCATATACATGCTACTTTGGAAGTTTATTTCTCCCAATGTTAGAATTTCCATAGAGCTTCCTCTAAAGCCCATGTTCTAGGGGGACAGACGAGGTTAGCAATGTTTAAGTCTGGAACATTTATATCGAAATCAACTAAAGCAGTGTTGCAGTGTTTCTCT